CTAAAACTGGAATGAGAGGGGAGATTTGTGCCCCGCACCTGTCTTTAGGGGAAGGTCTAGAGACAGAGAGATGGAAAGGCTGAGGTGCAGATCTTTAAGAAAGGGTACACTTGGGGCAACGTTGCTCTTCTGTGGCTGTGGAAGCACTATTATGGTATGGATCCCTGGAACTGCTCCCTGGCCACTGCCCCCCCCCCCGCTCTGTATGGATCTGTTCTACTTGGTGCTCTGCTATGTGGGCAGCGGAGGGCACTCAGAGCTGCTGCGGCCCTGGATAGGTTGGTCCTCCTTTGAGCCATTTATGCACTTGGACACCCCCCCTCCCGGACAGAGACCCGTATGGACCTCTGAGGTCAATACCTATTTTCCACACAGCCCTTTTCATGAGGCACAAAAAACAGGATAAAGTAGATAAAATCACCAAACACACAACTAGCAAAATATGTAGATTGGCCTTGTCCAACTTAGTGTTCGAAAAATGTTGGACTACAACCCTCTAATCTCCCAGCCAGAGTAGGTACAATGGATGGTGGTTGGCCTCAGGTTGGATGTATAACTCAGCGAAGGTCAAAGTGTGCTTTGCCAAAAGAGTGATATTCTTTGGCAAATTAGATCTCTGAGAGAATCCTGCTTTCGAAATGTTCTTTGGCCTGGGGAGGCTACTGGTGAGTACCAAGGAAGGAGGAAAATCATAGCGAAGTCCCCCTCCTCATCTCTGGCTGCTTCCAAGCATCTGATTCCCTGACATTTCTGCTGCTAGTGTTGATGGAAGCAGGAGGAACAAGGGTGGAAAGTTGGATCAGATCAGCCACGGTGTAGCTTTTGACGATGCGTTAAGTGTTGTCGATGTGTCCTAGCGCAGTCAGGAGATGCAGCTGGTCCAAACCAGCATGCCGCAGCCAAGCGCTGAACTGTGTAACGGTACTTGCAAGACTTAGTATCTAGTTTTCTGTATCATCCAGGACTTGCTTTGATCTTCAACCTGTTTTGTATCAAACAGAATTACAGTAGATGGCCCTCCTTCTTCTGCCCCTTAGAAGGCCAAGGCTGGCCAAGTGCCGTCCTGTGTGTGATCTTGCAGAAGACCACACTTGGCTGCATGTCCAGAAATGGCTCCTTTCTTGTCTTCCTTTCTTGCAGAAGAGTCTCCTTCTACTGCCTCTACCACACCTGATTCTACGGATGGTGAGTGTCCAAAGTGCATGTGAAGGGATGGGCAAAGGTCCCGGCCTGCGGTTGCCCAAACCTGGTTCTGGCGTTTGTAGCCATGTCACCCAGTGTGGGAAGCAGGAGGCACTGGGTCGCAGGTGGGGAAGACCCCGCTGAGCGAGCTGTTCTTTGGCTCAGGGCATGTGACTGGATTTGCAGACCTAGAGTCGTTCCACGTGCACCCTGCATCCTCTGGCCCAGGGGGAGGACTGGCCATCTTTCCAGATGGAGGTGCTCTTGCCTCCCCAGCGGCAAAAGCTGTTGTTCCTTTCTGTAGGGGCCAACGAGGAGTCTGACTTCCCTGAACTGCAGACAGCGCGGGAGTTTTCGGAGGAGGAGGAAGAGGGCTCCGTGGAATGGGGGACCCCACGGGAGCTGACCTTTTCCTATATCACCATTGCTACCCCCTCCGGCAGCAGCCCCAATTTAGCAGATCAGGGCCATCGGGGCAGACGTGACTCCCAGACCCGCCGGACCCGGGCTTCACTGCCCCGCACGGAGACGTGTGAAACTTTTGTGCCCACGCTGGGGGACAGTTTGGAGAACATTCCCAGCCTCTGCCCGTCTCCAGAAGGAGAGGTGGCCTCGTCTTCAGGCAGTGGCCACGAACTAGATGCCTTTCTGTTGGACTGGGATGCCCACGTGGGCTGTGGCAGAGAACTGGATGCAGCCAAAGGTGAGGAACATGCAACTCGGTGTCCTGTGCCCCCATCGCTGGCAGCGGAGGCGGAAGGAGGTAGCAGCACGGCTTGCTCAGGAACAGGTAGGGACGGAGCACCCCAGAAGGGCAGCAGAGGCTGAATTCTGCCCTCACCATCCATCCTTGGCTTTGCCAGAAGAAAGTGAGGCCAGCATCTTCCTGGCTGCTAGCTGTTTGCAAAAGAGGGGAGGGATTTTGTAAATGGTGGAATCCTTGTGGGATTTCTTCTGTTGAAATATCATGGTGGGGTTCAGGGTCATGTATATTTGTGGCAAGACTTGGTCATTTGGGATGTTTGGATTTGTAAGGGAAAATCAATCAAAAATTGTTCAGTGTGTGGAGAGTTGACCTGTGTGTGTTTATTTTTTCAATGTGAAAAGCAAAATTTCTGATTTTTCTGATATGAAGAAGAAGTGCCCAGAGAGTCCCTGTAAAAGCCACAGAGAAACTTCCTGGCTCTTTATTCTGGTTAAATTAATGAGATGGGTTGGCACAGCTTACCCCAATCAGGTGGCTGAGGACAGCGTGTGGGCTCCACCATTCCTTCCGCGCTGTCCGTGAGGGCACCAACCTACATTAGGGAGTCACTCCATGTCTGTAGGTGGTCCCTAGTGGGGGATCAACCCTCAAACTCAGATGCTGGAAATGCAGAGCAGCGGATCCTAATGTATGAGCTATAGAAATGCCAGGGAATTTCTCATTCTGAAAAATAAATAACCCTCTGCACAGTTGTGATCAGGTGCTCAGGGTAAGATCAGACTGCCAGCCAGGAGGGAACCAGGAACTGCAGCCAGGCTGGGAAGGACAAATGGGGAGCTGGTCGCAATTGCAGATCTTTGTGGCCAGGGCAGAAGAATGGCTGTGACTTTGCATTTGCCTGGTTTTAAACTCTGCTCCAGATAATGCCAGAGAGGACCTCTCTCTGCCTGCTGCCTTAGTGTCCCAATCTGAAGCAGGCACCTCCTGCGGTGCTGACACTCCCCAAGACCGAGCACTGACCTCAGCAGAGTTCTGCCAACCACCCCCACCTGAGGAAGAGGAACAGGAAGAGGGACCAGGCCAGGAACCCCATTCTGAGCAGCTTCACGTTGAACCAGACCAGTCTGAGCACATTCTGGAGAGGAACGGCATAGGTGAGCAAGCTGGGTGTGGGAGAAGTGGCATTTAGAATCCGCCAGGCTAACGACCGCTGCCCTCCCTGGATGTGTGGGACGTATCGGGGCTCTGCTCATTAGCAGGCCCAGGAGCAATGCTGGCCCCAGCCTTCGCTGGGGGAGCATGCTGACAGGTGGTCAGGCCTTGCTCCGTCTGCCCAACCAGCCCTCTCCCCAGCCGTCTTCCAGGCATGTCAGACTACAACACCGGCAGATTGGCAGAGGACGATGGGAGAAGTAGTCCAGCTCATCTAACAGGGCCAGGAGGGGGAAGGCAGGCCTGCTTGTGGGAGGGGTTGTGCTCCTCCTCTGCTCCCCCGGAGACGCCAGGGACTTGATCTGAAGCCTTCTGCACACAGAGGATGAGCTCGGCCGCACAGCCAGAACGCCTTCTCCGAGGAGGGAGCACGGAGGCAGAGCTACGTAGAAGCCTCCCACTGGCATATTTCCCCCGTCGTCGAGGATTCCTGGCTATAGTTGTCCTGCTGCGGGGGCCGTGGGCTGGCCGTGTGCTTCTGCTGGCCCTAGTAGGGCTGTTTCTCCCAGGAAAGGTCCTTATTCACGGCCTCTGGCAAGCGGCCTGGATCAGAATTGCTGCCGAGTCAAGTCAGCGGGTATAAATAGCTGTGGTGCTGAGCCGAGCAGAATTGGAGCCGGCCGAGCCTTCCGCTTGCCTGCCCCTGCCTCCCCAGCCAGGCCAAGGACACCCGGCTTCTCTTGCAGGAGCCGTGGCCTGCACAGGCTGAAGAGCCCCCCGCCCCCCAGCACAAGAGGTGGTTTCAGGAAGGAGCTGAGAGGAGCCTCTCTGTCCAGGGGTCAGTGTCCCCTCCAGGGCTCAGGGTGGGCTGGGCGGGATTTTTGAAAAGAAATCCACGTTCTGACTCGCCAGTGCCACTGCCTCAATGCAGTCTTAGCCTGCCCGGAGCCCTCCAAACGCTCTGGATTGCAGCGGGAGCCGCACTGGCCGGGCTCGACTGCAGCTGTAGTCCGAGGCTTCCTCAACGGCTTTGGTTCAGAGGCCGCGCACGAGCTAACATTTTCCTGGGCCAGAGAACTTGCAGCATTACAGCAGGGTCTGCTCGCATGGTGCACACGTGCAGCTCTGCCTCAGGTAAAGGGCAAGACACCAACTCCAGTGTTATCCTTGCCCAAAGAAGGGGTGGGTGGGAACGAAGGCACCTGCCCTCTCAAATAAGGGTAGGGGGGCTGCTGAAAAGGAATTCTGTAGAGCACCTTCTGGCTCCTTCTTGAAATTGTGACTCCACAAAGACCATCTCACTGGCATCTGGAAAAGAGTGAGCGTTGTTTTCCAAGTTTCAAGTCCTCAAGGCTGTGTTTCAGAGCATAGTAGCACATGTTCTCAAAACCCTGGAGATGATGAAAGAAATTACATGACCCATCATATATGGAAAAAGCCACTCTGGAAAGCAGTCATGCACAGCTGGAATGTGAGCACCAAGGAGCAGCCCCCAAATCGCACGCCTGGCACTGAGTCAGTTGCACATGCAGACGATTGATTGTGTTATAGAATCTCTGCTTCGGCTCTTGATGCCTGGCACCCTTGATCCAAGCACCTTATCTCTGATGGGAGAGATGCTAGCGGTGCTTTTTCAGCAACCATGAAGAAAGGGCATTCTGCACATGCTCAGGGGAATCCTCTGAATTATGTTTAAGTGGACAGAAACTGACACCTTGAAGTAGTCAATAGGCAATATGGACGTAAGGAGAATGGAATATAGTGCACTTTCCAGACTCTACAGAAGAATCTGCAAAGCGAGGGAAGAATCTAGTAGCACCTCTGCAGACTTTCAAAAGGGTGGGGGCCTTATAAGGGTGTGCCTTATATTATTATTTATAATAATAAATCGTAGTCTTTTAAGGTAGACTAACGAGGCTCTCCTCCAACAATGTCAAACTTGGGAGTTTCGCTGAGGTCTGCATCTGAAAAAGGCATTTCTGACATTAAGGAAAAAAGGCAAGGAAGAGCCGCCGAGTCCGTCTGCCAGCCCTTTGAAAGATGCCCGTTTCACAGACCTTCCGGGGCTCTCTGCGTGGAGTCCCAGGGGAGCTGTTGAAAATGGTGTTGGGCTCCACTTCCAGCCTGATCCTGCTCTTCTGGGTCTGAGATCCAGGAATCCTGACCTGATCCTGAGTTGGACAGAGGCCCTGAGGCCCTCAAACCCACCCCCCTGCTCAGCCTGCCCGGCCTCACCCAGGCAAGGGGGCCTCCCGCTTCCTTGGGTCACCAGCTCTTACCGTGAGCATTGAGCCAGAATCGGTAGCTTAAAGCTCCTGAGCCCCAGCGTGTCTTGACTCTTGTTCCTCCACCTTCCTACCTTCTTTGGAACGCCATCCCGCAGCGGCTGGCTCCCGGGCCTGCTGATGGTGGGGCAGCCCCTCCCTTCAAGGCTGTGAGCATGCAAAGCTGCCTCTGTCCACCAGGCAGGCAGGGGAATCTGGATGGGAGAAGGCAGCTGGGATTCGTCAGCTATAAATAGCACCCCCCCACCTGCGCTTCCTCATCCCCCTCCCCTAACCAGGCACCCCCTCCAGCCCAGGACTGGTGCTCAGAGAGGTCTCCGCAGAGCGGCAAGGAGCCTCGGAGCTGCAAGAAAAGGGGATCACCATGGCGAGCACAGGTGGGCCCCCCCTTAGGATTATGCCCTGTGAGCATTGCTAGGGAGGGCTGGGGAGTGGGGAGGGGAGGATCTTGGCTAACCCATGGGGCCAGGGCTGCAGAGCAGCTTGAGGTGGGTGACCCAGCTTAGGGTTTAGCCGAGGGGGGACCAGCTTGAAAGGGAGGAAGCATTTGGGGGAAGAGAGGTGAGGCGGCACCACGTGGATTTGGGAGCAGGACGTGAGTCTTGCAGTGCACAGATGCCGGAAACCCCCAAACTGCCACGGCTGGGCCTGTTTCAGACCTCCACCCTCCCCCAGGATCCTCCATGCCTCCCTAGATTCCTTAAGCGGCTGGACTGCATTTGGGCCTGTCAGTTAAGGGGACGGGGGGGGGGAGCTTTGCAACAGCTACCAGCGGCTCTTGGCCTCTCGCCATCCCCGCCTCCTCCACCCCTGATGGGTGGGGTCCCTTTGCGCCATGTTTGCGGAGCAGGAAAGCCTGGGACCAGCTTCAGAGCGATACCAACTTCCCTCTCGGGACAGAAGTGGAGATGCCAACCAAATGCCCACCTCCCACTTCTTAGCCAGCTTGAGCTGCCTCTCCAAGCAGTTGCACCCAGTGCAGAACGCTTACCATCGGCAGCCGTGCATGGCAGGAGGGAGTGGCTGTGGGGCGAGGAGTGCTTGGCATCTCCCTCTTAGGAAATTGGCAGTAGGTTTTAGTGCTTGGCAGGGGGAAGGAGGGTCCCCCAAGCAGACTTTTTGCAACCAGATAGCTCCACTTGCGTGGTTTGGTTGGGTTGGAGGGGAGACACCGCTGGGAGACAAGAATTGCCCCCCCCCACCATCCTGGAACGGGAGGGGGGTAAGCAGAACTGGCATCTTTCAGGGGAAACCGAGTGTCTTGGACCACAAATGGACATTTTGTGACTAGAAGCATGGGCATTTAAGGGGCAGGAAGCCCAAACAGAAATGGCGGCCTTGTCCTATTTATCACGGTCCCATTGTGCCTGTTTTTAGGTGGAGCACATTTGGCTAAACGTTCAACATGGGCAGGTGGGGTAGGGGGGTGCAGGCTTGGCATTCAGGCCTCCCTCCATTTTCAGTACACACACAGTTCTGAGTTCAGACCGACCATTTCTTCTTGTGTGAAACCAAGTTTCGCGCCTGGGTGATGTGATGTCACAGAATGTTCAGGCTCGAAGGAAAAAAGTCAGGTGCGAAGAAGTCTGCAAGTTCTGCTAGTAAAAAAAGCCCCAAAGCCTCACACAGTGACAAAAGGATGGGATACATTTCCAAGGAGAGCAGTTCCTGGGGAAGTTCAGACGTTTTTAAAAATCTGAAATGTCACTGCACCCAGGTCCTAGTTCTAGAGGATCTAAGCTGAGTTCTGTGGGTCTGGAGGCGAAGGGTGTGCATTAATTTGGGGGAAGAAGGCATTTGTGTGGCAGATTCATCACTGTGCCGAATCTGAGATGATAAGTCCCGGTGGCGTCAATGTCTTTGTGTGGTCATGAGGACTAGGGTCATGGATGTTTTCTTCTGTCTGCCTTGAAAGCGAATTCTGTACCAGCCCAGAATTATTCTACCCAGGGAGTAACGTAGGTTTTCTTTGTCTGGCTTCGATGCCTCTCTTGCAGTGGCCGACCTGGTGTATTGGCGGGACACCCGCAGATCCGCGTTGGTTTTCACAGCCCTGATGGTGGCCCTGCTGTGTTTGCTCCACTTCAGCATCGTCAGCGTGGCCTCCTACCTCTCCTTGGCCGCCCTCAGCATCACCATCGCTCTCAGAGGCTACAGCAAAGCGCTCCAGCTCATTCGCCGGGGAGATGGCCACCATCCCTTCCAGTGAGTAAGCCGGCTGCCCGGGGCGCTTTGCGGGGCTTGGGGACGACAGGACGGCTGGGGGGAACAGTCTGCCAGCGGGATTCTTCTTGCCCAGCATCGTGGCCTTGCTGCCCTATGGGAGCTCCCACTGGAGGGCACAATCAGAGCAGCCCCTTCTGCCACCAGTGATGCTGCCCCCCTTCCCAGGAGGTCTGGGGTGCAAGTGGGACGGGCTGGTCTCCCGGGCTCTCTGGCTGCCATGGACCCCCGTCCTGAAGGGGGAAGCTGAGGCAGCTGGGCACGGCTTTGCCTTTCCCTCCTCACCCCCCCAACTCCCTGCCAGGGCCCAGCTGGATGCTGACTTTGGGCTGTCAAAAGAACAGCTGGAGCGACTGACCGAGCGGGTCGTGCATCATGTCACTTCGGGCACAAAGACCCTGCAGCGCCTTTTCCTGGTGGATGACATGGTGGAATCTCTCAAGGTAAGCCCCTTGCCCTGGCCTCGCGAACCGAGCCGACTCCTGAACGCCAGTCTCGGCTGAGTATCGTGACGAGAGCCCCCTGGAGCCCCAACCTCCTCCAGAACTTTGTTTGCAGACCACAAAGATGTAATCTTGCTGGATCAGGCCAAGCTAATCTGGGGATCCAACATCCAGCTGGACCCCCAGGATGGTTCTTCTATTAAGATCTTTTTGCGTTATAGGCCACCTTTCTAGATGCTGTCTGTGGCATTCCCTCCTCCAGATTTTCCCCCAACAACCCCGCAAGGTAGATTGGGCTGTTTAATGGTAACTGCCCCAAAGTCACCTGGGGAAACATCTGGCAGGAGAACCTCGTGAGGGGAGCTGGGGAGTTGGGAGTTGAAGTCCACACGTCTTAAAGTTGCCAAGGTTGAAAAACGCTGTAATAAAAGGTTGCAGAGATGCAGGCAAAGTCCATTCCTGTTGCCACAAATGCTTTGCTGGGCTCGGAGTCAGCAAGGAAGTGCCAAAGAGCCTGACTGTGCCAGGACTGTGTCCCATGGCTTGCTCTTGCCCCCAGCATGTCTCCTCCTGAGGGGGGCGCAGGCTGGGCTCCAAACTTGCCAGACCCCTGGCAGGATGGGCCCTCCGTCTTTCCTCCCTGGGGTCCCAGCCCTCTCTGACTCAAACTGCATTCAAGGAGAACGGAGGCAAAGCGAGGCTGGGGGGGTGCCCCCCTCACCTCCTCCTCCTCCTCCTCGCCTATCTGTTTCAGTTTGCTTTCTTGTTCTACGTCCTCACCTACGTGGGAGCTGTTTTCAACGGGCTGACGTTGCTTATACTTGGTAAGGCGTGGGTCTGGGAGGGAAAAGCCTTTCAGGCGGGGGTGGGATCCTGCAGGCATAAGAGGCTCACCCCCTCCTTTTCTTCTGCAGGTGTAATAAGTGCATTTACCTTCCCTCTGCTGTACAGGCAGCATCAGGTGTGTATCTGGGCTTTGGGGGAGGAGGGAAGAGCTGAAATTCATGACTGGCATTAAAAAGGGGGCTGGAGCCTAATCTGTTCCTGCTGCCCTGCATTTTGGCATATCAGCATTCAAGGAAAGAAGTGGGTGGAAAGCCAATGGAATAGTCCATCGTGGTTGGATGTGGCACCCCACACCGGAGCCGTACCTTTTCTCTCCAATGCGAGAGCTGGAAAATGGATGTTTTCTTGCTTCTGGAAAAAGGCCCTCCGCACACTCACTTTTGTAACCCTCTCCCTGAATGAGTGACTTAAAAAGTAGGAAGCTGTGGGACTGGACGTAGCTTCTGGCTTGATGGACCACCTGGGAGATGGGATGGGCGGTACGAGGGCAAAGAGCAGCGCAACGTTTGCCTTCATTTTTCGTCAAGGAAAGAAGGCCAGGCCAGCAAGAGCGACGCAGCCGCTAAAAAGGCGAATAGAGTCTTAAGCTGCATTAATAGAAGGCACAAAAATGAACTGCCCCAAACCTTTCTCTGCTCAGGGCCTGAGTCTGAGTGTCGGGTTTTCGGGAGCACATGAGTAAGAAGCGCTTGGGGGCAGAGCAACAGCTAGGTACCTGTTCTTATTCTGGGGGGGCTCATCCCTGTTTCTCCTCCTCCCTCCTTTCAGGCACAGATTGACCAGTATGTAGGGCTGGTGAGGAATCAGTTGAGTAACCTCAGAGCAAAGTAAGTCCAGGAGTGCCGAAACTTTTTCCTGTTTGCTCCTCTTCCTCCAGCAGAATAGAATGGGGCGAGTGGGGGGGATAAGCCATTTCATTGCCCGCTTGGGCTGCATTCTTTCGTTTATTGGTGAAAGAAATTTCATTTCCCTCTTGGATGCAGCACGCCAGCCCACAGAATGCTTCTCAAAGCATTGTTTGTTTTTTTGCTGTTATTTGTTGGGAGAAAGGACACTGGAATGTAATTTAGAAATAAAACATTTTAAAAATAGCAGTGATTGACCCAAAAGGGTCTAACACATATTAATAGGTTACTCAACTAAACAATGTGGCCTGTTCTACCAATTAATGCTTGAATTGAAGGTAGACTTGACAAGAAATTTCAGAAAGCAAATTCTTTCTCTGTCTTGCTCAGTTTCTCTCTTTTTCCCCAGGATGCTGGCCAAACTGCCAACGGCAAAAGCAAAAGCAGAATGAGGGACATTGCTTCTCTTCCCTGCGCACACAGATGCCAACGCACACACCTGCTTTGTCCCTTTTCTTCCCCAGCCATTGCAATAGTGACCCTTCCTATCCAAATGTACCACCCCTCCCATTCTCCTTGGCCTGGATGGGGTAGGCAGCTGCTGCCTTTCATACAGCTCCCCTCTGCCCTGGGGCGTCTGAGAAATTGGAGAACCCTTGTGGGGGGGGCGGGGGGCAAAAGGGACACGGTCCCTTGGCATCTCAGCCCTGCGGTCTGCACAGGCCGCTTGGTGTGGGATGATGGTGGCTGAGCGACGCGTCTCTGGAGCTGCTTCTGACCCTCCTTGCAGCAAGTGGCTGGGGGGGTGGTCTTGAGAGAGCTCCTGCCCCAGGCCCACATCCAAGGACTTGTCAACCAAAAGCCTAGGGGCTGGTAGCCCATGGTCCCTCCGTGTCCCGGCAAGCTCCTGCCTGCCTGCCTGCCTGCCTGCCTGCCGTGTTCGTCCCGGGTTCTGAGCTGACACTGGCCAACCTGGAGCAACCTGCTTTCCTCCTGAGGGGGAGCCCCTCGAGGTGGGACAGGACCACCTCATCCCCTCTGCCCCCTTTCTGTGGGATGTTGTAGCTGTCACTCCCTGCCCCTAATCATGTGCCTGGCTGCGGCTTGGCTAATCAGGTGGTGGGTTTCGTGCAGCCAGTTCTTTAACTTTGCCTGAATATTTACACTTTAATAAAAACAGTTGTGGGAAAAAAAAATATGCATGACGTTTGGTCTCCTGAGTCTTCACTCGTGGACACGTTGCATGCGGGGGGAGGGGGAATGTGTCCCCTCACCAAAATTCCTTTTACGCTCCTCCTCCACACCAAGTAATAAACTCTAGTTTCAAAAATGCAGTGGCTTAGATCCACCCCCCAGAGGCCATTCCAGCCTGTGAATCTTTGTCAGCATAAAGCCACAAGGGGCCACGTCACACAAATGCTGCTGCTGTGGCCTTTCATTGCAGTGTCTCATGCAAGTACGCGAGTCATGGTGTTCGTGTGAAGTGTGCCCCCTTTCCCCTCTGCAGCCGCTGGTGGCCTGAATGCACTTTGGCTGTCCATGTTGCCTAAACAGTGTAAATCCCGTCTTGGTCTTCTGTAAATGGTTAAGTCTTCACATGGGCCATTAATGGCAGGAGTGTGCGTAAAAGAACCACTGCCTGCAGTCATGGAATCAACACACCTCCTGTGCTCCACCGGCTTTTGCCTGGTCCTTTGAGGTGTGTGTCAGACTAGGACTGGGGAGACCCTGGTGCAAGTCCCCCTTGACCCTGGGGGGATTCTGGGTCAGCCCCCCCATGCACTCAGCCCAGCTACTTCCCAGGGTGGTTGCTGGGAAAAACCAGGAGGAGGGGATGTGCCACTTGGATGTAAAGGAGCAGCCCGTAACAATCCACCTTTCACCGAATTGCACCCACCTTCCCACGAAGGCCCAGCTCTCTAGAGAAGGTCAGATGCTGGGAAGGGTGGAAGGAAAGAGAAGGCGACCCGCCGCCAGGTGGAGGCCCTCCGCGACGGTGGCGATGGGGCACCGTTGGAGGACGCGAAGGATCAGCCGAGGGACAGATCCTCCTGGAGGCCACGTATGTGGTCGCTAGGAGTCGAAAGTGACTTGATGGCACCATCAGTCCATCCCCCGCGGGCGACTCCCTCCCGTAAAAAGCTGCTTGGCTGGAGCGTAGCCAGCAGGGGGAGCCCGAGGACCACACACCTTGTCAGCCGGAACTGGAGGCTAATCAGGACTTGCGAAAGGCTGCAAGGGAAGAGCTGACCCAGATCGGCTGGGCGGCCTGCTGCTGGACAAGGCAGCGCTGGCCACCATCGCCCGGGCTCAAAATTACCGTGGGGAGGGGGCAGGCCTGGTTGGTTCTGGGGCGGGAGACCTCCAGGCGCTCCCAGGGCTGTAGGCTGGGCTGGGCAGTGGAAAAGGGGTCCCAGAAGGAGGCAGCGGGGGCAACAGCCGACCGCTCCCATAACGCTGCCAAGAAAGCTGTCGCGAGAAGCCAGGCTCAAGTCAAAGAAGATGCTCTCTTCCCTCGCTTAGAAAATGGGAGCTTCTGTCCAGGTACTAAGCTTGAAAAGCCGCAGTAGCCAACAGCCCTTCTGGAAGGGCTCCGTCTATCCAAAGGTGACCCGGAGCTGGCCTGGGGTTGAGCTGGCCCGTCCCCCCCTTGTGGCCTCCTGAGGGTGGAGGACAGGAAGCATCCCAGGACACAGGGAGGCGGTTGGATTCGTCTCGAGAGGGAAGCTGCTGCTGGCCTTTCTGCCTGCAGAAGGTCTGGCGCGGCGGTACAAAGCGTTTCCTGGAGCAGGAGGAAGGGGCGACCCAAGTCCTCCAGCCAGCCGGTCGCTGGCATGGTGCTAAAGGAAGCTCTGTGCTGCCCAACCCCTTCCCAGAGCTCTCCTTCAGAAGAGGCAAAATGGGCTTTCTCCCCACTTCCATTTTGGGCCAACTTGTGCTGAAGCGAATCTCCAGCTCAGCTCCACACTTAGGGGAGGGGGGGGGGGGGGAGGGGAGGGGAAAGCCCAAAGCGGCTTTCTGATGGAGGAGCCCTGCATCTTGCTTGAAGCCCAGAGGTGGCTGTTTACAGCCATGTTTCTCCATGCTGGCTGGGCAATTTTGGGAGCTGAAGCCCACACACCAAGTTACCAAGTCTGAAAAATGCTGGTTTTCAGGGTCGCCTGGGAGAAGAGCTGAACTCGCCCCTCCTGCTGGCTCTGCAAACAGAACATCAGAGTGAGCAACCAGCGTCAGCTGTGCAACGAAAATGGCAACCCAGATGTGAGGGAATTTAAGAAATAACCCAGCCGACACCTGCAAAAGCACTAACATTACCAAGGGACCCTGGAAAATAAGCATTAGTCAAACACCAGAGCAGGAAAGCCGGACACATCCGGTGGAGAGCTACTAAGCAGTAGACGGCCTGCCTCGCGGAGTCCTGGGGGTTTTCAAGTCATTCATCTGGGACGGTCCAGGCTCCCTTCAGCCCACGATTCCACAAGGTCCCAACAGCTACGCAAGACCCACGTTCGCTGTGGGTCTTGGCTGCTAAAGGCAACCTCCATACGGAACAAGACTCTACTTCCACGCCAGATGGAAGGACGCATTCCGCAGCACATCACTTCTGGTCCCGACGCAGCGCATCAGATCTTACCAGAAGATAATAACAAACGCGCTCGTTCTCAACAGCAGTGACAAGGCCTCTGTGTAGCTCGGGACAATGGCGAAGAGTCCCCCGCAGGCGCTTCTCATCAACTCAACCCAAGCCCACCACCCAGGCCTGCCCACCCGGAACCCCGAGGGTGAAGGCAATGGGCAATCAGGTCTCAGTGTGGAGAAAGCCAGGCAGATCTACGGCTCGAGATCTTTTATTGCACCTCATTTTTTTCTTTACAAGAATTTGAAAAAATAGATCATATATTCATCATAAAAAGTGCATTTTTTTCAAAGCTGTCTTTATTTGCTGTTTGGCTAACCAGTTAAGTGCAGGACAGGAGGGCCGTAGCAGGGTCCAAAGTCTAACCTCCCCCCTCCACTGGCCCCCCAATTGCTTAATAAAATACATCACAAAAAATATTACAGCACAAGGGGTTAAATAATAATAATTAAAAAAAATAAAAATATTCCCCCAACCCCAGCAAGTGTATAATAAACAAGGATCTGTTTTGTTTTTTTAAAAAAGCTGGTTAAATAAAGGTCCATAGATTAAAAAAATAAAATAATAAAAAAAACACACAACATCAAAAGCTTGGTCACAAGAAAAAATTTGGAAACATTCTGTATAGCATCATGGCGAGCTCTAGAGATCCGAAAAGCAACATGGCAGCTTTCCCGGTCCATAAACACACTTGAGTCGGAGGTTAATTAGGGGCGCAGAATAGAGCGAGCAGCTAGCACAAAAATGAGGAATAACGCAGAGTGGTGGCAGAGCTGAGAACCCAAGTACAGAGGGAAAAGCGGCCCTTGGCGGAGGGCAGAGCTCCTTGGAAGGGCTGGTGCTTTTCAGAGAACAGGCGCTTGGCACAGCCAGGATCTGGGGACTCAGGAGGACTTGGGGTGCGGCAGGGCAGGAAAAGAAGAGCAATGGGGCACGGAGCCAGGATAACCGGCCTGCATGCCACAGGCCTGGAAAAGCAGCGGCGTGATTAGACCAAGGCAGGGAAGGGGGAAGGCAGCGAGGGACTGAAGGGGCCACAATCGATGCTACCTGTCCAAAGCGGCAGAGGGGGAGGGCTGCAAGTGCCGCCCGCTCCCAGACCGCTGGGCAGCCCAGGGGCCTGGCCTGAAAGCCACCAGGAAAGGGGAGCAGCAGCAGCGGCGGCAGGCGGGCCGTCCTAAGAGGGCCAAGAGGCATAATGCGAGGAGTTCGAGATCAAGCTTGCCAAGGGCAGCAGACAGGCCCAGCCCCGTAATTCCAGGGAAAGCATCATCGCTTACAGAGGTCCATTCACAGTATTTGTCACCAAGTCCCCACCACACAACCCCTCCCGGGACGCCAGGACACTTCCCGGTCCTCGCCCTTCAGTAAAACCGAGCAAGGGAGGTGGCCCAAAGAATTTAGCCCAGGGAATGCAGAAAGGCAACTGGTCAAGCCCTCCAGGACGGACGGACCCATTGAAAGCACCGCCTGGGGCCCTGCAGGAAGCGGTCAGCCCACCTGCAGCCGCAAAGCAAAACAAAAACCAAAACTCCGCTGCTTCTTTTGGCCTTTGCAGGCATCGCTTTCCTTTGGCTTCTAAAAGGTTTCAGGTTTTATGATTTCCCCCCAGATGAAGCGTTTTTATATCGCCCATCCTTCCTGTTTCCAAAACATATCAGCGGAAACCGGGTTTAAGAGTCGACACTGACTTGATGGCACACATCAATCAATCAATCAATCAATCAATCAATCAATCAATCAATCAATCAATCA